TTTTTTTTTTTTTCCTGAAGCCACAGATCCCTGCAGATTAAAGTATCTTATAAAGATGTGATTGCAGATGTACTTGTTTAGTCATGCAGACAGTCAAACTGTGTTTTGATTATTCTAATTGTCTTATTTCAATACAGAATAATTTGTTCTTGGCTTTTTATGAGTTCTTATAGCTGCTAAGTAGATTAAAAAACAAAAATTGGAAACACAAGCTTTTTTATTCTTCTACCCTTAAATGGCGGATTTCTATCATGATATAAATGCATTACTAGAACGAACTCTGTTAAAATTTACCAGTTAAATTGAAAATGAAATGAAAAGGATAAGAAAAACTTAGAAAAAATTTCCCCAAACATGTTGTTCGTCCTAGAAACATACAAGTTTTTAGATAAAGTACAGTTTGAGAATTTTCTCCCCATTATTCCATTTAATTGGGTCTCTTACCAAATGTAATTTACATGCCATTTTCTTCATTTTGTAGCTTTGAAAGCTGTATTTGATGAGAAAAACCTGTTTTCCAAAGAAAATTCTGGATTATGAATGAAGAGCCAAACAATTACATCAAGAAACAAAGTTGTGAAGTGAAGATAAAAAGAAATAAGAAGCAATTATAATTGAAAGAAAAATAATTATTTATTATTACAGAAAACACATATATAAAATGCAGAGAAAGAAATAAAAATTCGGCCCCTTTCTTTAATTTTATGTGTGAACTTCAGGACGTTTCATCCTCAGATGTTTTGCTGTTGCTTTTATCCAGCATTTTTTACTTTTTCTATATTCTTAGTAAGAGAAAGATTGGACTAACGAGGGGGCAATATCAATTGGTATTACCTATCCTCTGTTTTTATATAAAAAATTCACAATTCCAGAACAAAGTATTCTAACTAGTTGCCCTTCTGGTTGCTTCTATAGACAAACATTTTTCATCAATTTTCATTGTAAAACTTGCATGTAAATATATAAAAAGTACTGACACTGAATATCTACAAATTTTAATATCTACCAAACTGTTCCCATTGTTTTACACTTTCCAATTTTT